GCATCGTAGTCGGCATCATTAGTGAGCTTTGCCATTCTCCGCACCAAGATACGAACTCGTCAAAGAGACATTCCTTTAAACTTCTGGCATTTATGAAGCCAGACACGATGGCTTAAACCTTGTACTAATTGCAGTTTGTTTTCATAAATGAATGTCAATAGGGCAAATATAACCTTTCAAAATGTTTAGTGTTGATATGATATCGTTTTAGCAAATTATTTGGAGCAACATGGAGAGCTTGTGGAACTTAGCTAGTTTTGCGTCAAATGCCATACTAGTTATGATGCTTCCCAATGAAACTTCGATAAATTGTAAGTTTGTGCTAAAGATGGCGCCTCTCATTGACGATGCCGACTAAGTGTCTGAGAGTGTATCGAGTCGACCGTCGGATATTGGAATTTATCATGAATACTATGGTAGAGAACGCAGGACTAGGTACGTTACACAGGATCTCTCTATCGCTTCGACAAGGAGCAGTAACGAGGTAAAACCAACATTATGTAGCTAAAGAAGACTGCGACCAAAGGCCACACCATCCTGGTCTTTATATCTACGATTTAAGTTTATCGTTAGCTTGATTTTTAGGACTATCTGCTTCAAAGTAAAGTTTAAATGAAAACCAAAGGGTGCCTATATTAACTAAGCAATCGGAAAGTGACCCAAATGTAAGACTAAAATACTTATAAATAGGGAAGCATTTTTGAAGATATAAAATGAACTTGGTATAAAGTGGTAGTTCCCACCACCCAAGCGGATGATAAAATAAGTGAAGCTCTATTCCAAAAATCATTAAAGATCTTTGAATGATATTAAAGATTATATTAACGGATGTGCTTGAACAAAAAGGTTTACGAACGCAAGGGACTTATACAAAGTTGATAGGAAAAGGACTTTGGGCAAGGTTAAATCATTCTTTCTTTTGTTGTGTGTATTTGTGTGTGTGATATAAAAGAGAATCAGCTTAAAGTAATAGTGAAACAAATAATAGCAAGGAACAAAAAATGTATTAGATGTTATGTAGTGTATTAGTAAATGATGGAAAACAAGAATGTGTTGATCAAATCGAGTCACCTATGGGAACTAAGTAAAAGTAAGTGGCAGATAATAAGTATACATATAATTTAAGATAATGAATTATTGAAATATGACCACTGCTAGGAAATAACTTAAACAGATTGGACGTTTACTTTGCCTTGGTCTAATCGTTAGTAGAACGGCGTGATGGGAGCTGAGACATAATCGCAGAGAGAATGCAGAATAATACGTTGGAGACAGTAAAGAATCAAGTATACCAAAGTGAGTAGCACGAATGTAGAAGTGTTGTTTTGGGTAGAAAGGATTGATTTGCACTGAGACAATAAGGGAATTGGGTGAAGCAACCGAGCTAATGTGCTGCTTCTTAGGGTCAGGATCAGATGCTACAGAGGCCTATGCAGATAAGTGCATTTGTTAGACGTAGAAGTTTACAAAGTTTCTTTGCCAATGTAGAGCAAATAGTCCTGCCATCATAAAATCAGAGTTAAATGCATGAGTGCTGGACTACTTTGTATGGGGTTCACAGAGAATAGGGGCAGTCCTACTGTATGAGAAGCTTTAATCAAATTCGTCATAATGCAGATATGATGAGAAGCGGAGCATGGTTAAGTTCAACACAAAGAAGAGACAGAAGAGGCATGCGATGACCGTTAACGAGCGATTTTACTTGGTAGAAATTATGAAGCTACACCGAAGATGATACCTGACTATCGTAGTTCCGAGTGTCGGGACCTTCAATAAGAGATTTGTTGGGGAAGTGGATGTGGTACTATGGTAGATCGTTACGAGCCAGGCGTCAGAAGACGTTTCAGGCCCATGAAGAAATATATTGAGCTAGAATTGCTTATTACTAAACACAACGAAGGGAACACGCGTCGGCTTGTAATTTGTGTCGAGTGATTGACTCCGATTTGCGTGGTGGAGCGGAAATCTAGTAGAACTAATGGGGTCTGGCCTCTAATAATGTAGTTGGCCAACAGTTCGGGGGCATAAAGTATGATAGGAGGGAGATGGCAGAGTTGACTTAGTACATGAGTCAAGCCTTAGCATAGAAGGTGAGGGCATGTCGTCTGATTAGAGTGAATAAAAGCTGATGATAAATTGCCTATAAAGTGAAACGGTACATTTGTTATCAAAGCTAGATGTGAGATGGTGACAATGAAAGGAACAAATAAGAGTGCAGATTTGGAGAGAGGCTGAGTGTCGCATAGCAAGGCTAGATTGAAGTAGTGAGAAAGAGAGTATAAGAAGATAAAAGCAATCGTTTTGATGATACTCCAAATAGTATTTCTAAAAGAGTAGATATACCAGTAAAATACCTATTTACTCTTATTTTATACAATCAACCATAAACGTTTTAGAATATATTAACTTTATTCCTATATACAATCCAAGATCAATGA